TGACCCCTTCCAACTCTCCCATCCACACTCGTCTTGTATACTTGTTTCGTCTATCTCCTTTCCGCAAACCGACTTCTGCGCATGGGCCATGAAGTTTCAATCGCACTGTATGTGCGCTCCTGCACGTGGTATTTTGTGGAAGAGCCACACTCAAGGGGCCAAAGTGCTGCTTGTGGCTCGTGAGCCGCGGTTTGCCAACCACTGGCCTAGTGATATCTTAGCCACTGTAATATCACAATGCAAAGTACTCACGTGTTTGTGGTGATGCTGATGTAAACAAATCTTAGTTGCCAATCATATAAAAGTATGGCACATACATGCCCTAACTGGTTTGGCTCAGTGGATAGAGTGTCAGCCTGCGGACTGAAGGGTCCCAGGGCATGTACCTTGGTTGCGGGCACATCCCCAGTAGGAGGTGTGCAGGAGGCAGCTGATCAATGTTTCTCTCTCATTGGTGTTTCTATCTCTCTATCCCTCTCCCTTCCTCTCTGTAAAAAAATCAATAAAATATATATATTTTAAAAAGTATAGCACATACAATTACATGCAGTACATAATAATAATAAACACCTAAGTTACTGGTTTGTGTATTTACTATATTTTAGCATGTACTCTTTATACTTATAAAAGTTTTCTACAAAACAGTATGCCGTGTTACACTGGCAGCAGCCTTATACACTTTGTCTAACTGAGTCTCTTGATCTTATCATTTTCTCTAATGCTTGATTTAATTTTGTGTAGTAACATGCTGTACAGGCTTATAGTCTGGGAGCAATGGGCTATCCCATACAGCCTAACCATGTAATAGGCTGTATCATCTAAGTGCACTCTGTGATGTTATCACAATGACAAAGTCACCTGACAGCACATTTCTCAGAATATATCCCCCTCATTAAGAGGCACATGACTGGCCCTGACCAGTTTGGCTCAGTGGATAGAGCGTCGGCCTGCGGACTGAAAGGTCCCAGGTTTGATTCCGGTCAAGGGCATGTACCTTGGTTGCGGGCACATCCCCAGCAGGAGAAGTGCAGGAGGCAGCTGGTCGATGTTCTCTCTCATCAATGTTTCTAACTCTCTATCTCTCTCCTTTCCTCTCTGTAAAAAATCAATAAAATATATTTTTAAAAAAAAGAGGCACATGACTGTAATACAGTGAATATCCACATCAAGGTTCATAGTCAATAGGTATGAACTAGAACACATACACCAATTTTTTTATATATATTTTATTGATTTTTTACAGAGAGGAAGGGAGAGGGATAGGGAATCAGAAACATCAGTGAGAGAGAAACATCGATCAGCTGCCTCCTGCACACCCCCTACTGCGGATGTGCCCGCAACCAAGGTACATGCCCTTGACTGGAATCGAACCTGGGACCCTTCAGTCCCCAGGCCAGCGCTCTATCCACTGAGCCAAACCAATCAGGGCTACACCAGTTTTTTATAGCCAGCGATTGTTCTGATTGTTCTTGATCCTAACATTACTAAATGTTTAGATCTACCACCCCAGGTTAAAAAGCAGAACATTAACAGTAACGTGCAGGCCCTCTCTGGGTCCTTCTCATGTCACACTCCCTCCTACAAATGGCTCACTCCCTTCTGTGAGCCAGTGAAGCCTGCTTGAGTAACATCTTAACTTGTATGTCAGTCCTGGGCTCTCTCAAATGTCTTGTCATGAAGGAGCAGCATCTGTTGTACCAAGCCTCTGAATATTTATTTTGTCTTTTAATTTTCACCTCAACTCTGTGAGGTATTTGTGCTGTTATTCTATAAAGAAAGATTAATAGCCCAGGCAGTGTAGCATAGTGGTTGAGCATCAATCTATGAACCAGGAGATCATGGTTCAATTCCCAGACAGGTTACATGCCCAGGTTGCAGGCTTGATCCCCAGTAGAGGGCGTGCAGGAGCAGCCGATCAGTGATTCTCTCTCATCATTGATGTTTCTATTTCTCCCTTCTTTGAAATCAACAAAAATAAAAAATATATATTTTTAATAAAGGAAGAACAATAATAAAAGTGCTTACCAGGTGGCAGCCACTATTCCAAAGGTTTCACACAACCTTTCTTAGGGCAGGGGCCATTATAGGCCCATTATACAGATAGGAAGCTGAGGTTTGGAGAGGAAGCAGGGTTCAGAGCACAGCATTTAACCAGAGAATGCCAGGCTTCAGTCCTTGTCCTGTCCTGACTCTCTGTGCACCCTGGGACAAGACTATGTGACTCAGCCCCTGGGTCACATTTGTGTAATGAGTGGCTAGTGAGCAGTCAGGCAGAGGGAAGCACAGGTGGCATGCGGCCCAGCCTGAGATATGTGGGGATATTCTGATAGTTCTTGATGGCATGAGCCTCCCCTGTCTTAGACATGGTGCCCCTTCTGTGTACCTGGCTTTTGTTTCCCTATCTGTCCTTGTTCAACAGAGGCCTCCCTTGCAGCTGCTCCACCTGTACACCCTTCACACACAGTGCTCACATCTTACGGACTCCTATCTGCACCTAGCACCCACCTCACCTCTGGAAAGCCCTCCCTGGCCCCTAGCAGAATTCCCTTGCAGTGGAGTTCTGTAGCTAGGATCCTGGCCCTAGTCAGGCCCAGTGGTGACCTAATACACCACCTCCTCCTCTTCCAGGCAACAGAGACATCCAAATGATCAGCTGTGGGGCCGATAAGAGCATCTACTTTCGCAGTGCACAGCAGGTAGAGTGAGGTGGCCTCCTTGGGGGCTGGGGTTTGGGGGCTTGTCAGAGTTGTCCTTTGAAGGCCCTGCCTGCCCTGCCAGGGCTCCGATGGGCTTCACTTTGTCCGTACTCACCATGTGGCAGAGAAGACCACCTTGTATGACATGGATATTGACATCACCCAGAAGTATGTGGCTGTGGCCTGCCAGGACCGCAATGTGAGGTAAGGAGCTGCGCTGGGCTCTTACTCAGCCTGGCCTTGGCTGCTTTATAAGTGGGGCCCGTATGGGACCTAGTCAAGTCTGTTTTCTCATGAGCTATCTGCTCTCCTTTACCCTGCTCATCTGGTCCCTGAGAAGCTGAGTGGGCAGAGGGACCCAGCACATGTTTCTTAGGAGCTGGATTCACCTAGGCTTAGCCTCCAGATTAGCAGAGGGTTCCTTCAAGCTCTCCAGAAGCCTATGTGGGGTGACTGAGAGGTGCTGATATGGCTTATAAATGTATTCTTTCACCTATATTCCCTGAGCACTTGTCTGGGATAGACAGTAGCAGCAGTGAGCAGGGCAGCTCCAGGTCCTGCCTTTACAAAGCTCACAGTCCTGTGGAGGAGAAGTGGACACTTCACCAGGCAGTGACAGCATGAAGTGGTCAGGGCTGGGATAGGGGAAGCCAGAGGGGTGAGCTCTGGAGAGATACCTGAACCCACCTGAGAATAAAGCAGGGCCTGGTGGAAGGAATGTCTGAACGGAGACTATGAAGGACCCAGAGGACTGAGCCAAAGGAGGAGGGAAGAGAGTGTGCAGAGGGCATAGCATGCACAAAGAGGTTCTCACCTCCTTCATTTGCTCATTCAAATTGGGTGCCAGGCACTCAAGCTTGCTCTATGGCAGGAAAGAGAGGCATTAACTCAACAGACACCCTAATAAGTAATTTCCATGACTTCATCCTGAGATGGGATTTCAGTCCAGGCATCGAATGGAGGATAAGCAGTGGCAGTGGGCTTCCAGAGAGAGGAGGCGGCGGGTGGGCAGGTCCATGTTGGCCATATTCTGCAACCACCTCCCCAGAGTCTACAACACCATGAATGGAAAGCAGAAGAAATGCTACAAGGGCTCCCATGGCGATGAAGGGTCTCTGCTGAAGGTGAGGAGCCACGGCCCCCAGGGTGAAAACTATACACAGACCTCACACCAAGGCTCCCCTTTGTATCTGCTATCCTGGTCAAAGGATCACTTGCTGGCCAACTATTCACTCTGGTCTGACTGAGAGCCAAAGAGTAGCCCACACTGCTTCACCTTTATTTACTGAGCCCTTCCCCAAGTGGAGCCGTTTTGAGTGGCAACAGAATGTGGTGGGAAGATTCAGAAAGGCCTGGGCTCTCTTGCCAGGCTTATCCCCTGCCTGTGTTATCCAGGCCAAGGCAAGGACCTTCTCAGAGCCGCTGGACGGGGTAAGAGTTCACACTGACTGTAACCTTGGGCAAGTGTTATCTTTCCAGTCTGGCTCATCATCTGTAAAATGCAGATACAGAGAGCTTCTGTCACAGGGTTGTTCTGTGGAGGAAATAAGTCACACAGGTATAGTGCTAAGCACAGGGCCTGGCTGCCATCAGTACCATAGTTGTGGCTGTTAATTTCTTTATCTGTGAAATGGGAACAGGAGTTATCGAATCAGGGTGTGTGTCGTGAGGACTATCTGGGATGAGTCCATGTGCCAAGTGTTCAGCACGAGGGTGGTCCTCAATCAGTGGGGGCTGGGAGGGTGGGGAAACGCAGGCAGCACAAAGCATCACTTGCATCCTCTTCTCGGCAGGTCCACGTGGACCCCTCAGGCACCTTCCTAGCCACAAGCTGCTCTGATAAAAGCATCTCGGTGATAGACTTTTACTCGGGCGAGTGCATTGCCAAAATGTTTGGCCATTCTGGTGGGTGTACCTCCCTATGTGAGACATCTCCCCACCTGTCCCCACATAGCCTTCTGACTCAGAAGGTCAATGCAGCTTCTCTGCTCTGTTTCTAGAAATTGTCACCGGCATGAAGTTCACCTATGACTGTCGTCATTTGATTACAGTATCTGGAGACAGGTGGGAAAGGCGTCGAGGCTGCCCCTGGCTGACCTCCCTTTAGGAGTGGGTGGGACCTACACTGTGGGGAGAGCAGGGGCTCAGAGACTGGAAACACCAGACTCACAACCTGCCTGTGCAGAGAGCTCTTCTGAGTGTTCCAGCTTTCTCTCTCCTTGATCAGCATGCATCTTGGTGTCACACCCAGCCCTGAGTTCAAATCCCATATCTGCTACTTATTTACTTGTGACCTTTAGCAGGTCATTTCCCTCTCTCAGCCTCAGTTTGCAACTTTGTAAGAGAGTTGATACCATCTACCTTGAAATTATATGGTGAAAGTCAAATGTGATGATCATATATGTCATTCTGATATATTTCCTTATATAAATTATATTTATACTAATTTATAATAAATAAAAATAAATTTCTTACCAGATGGTTGTTACTCAAAGAAGTCCCTTTTGTCACTCCCTTCAATTTACTACAATGCTTTCTCACAGCCCCCTTCGTTGTTCTGGAGGACTTCAGAACAGGTCCTGGTTAGCTGTTCTGGAGTCTACGCAGGATGTAGACCTGACATGGTCTGGAGTCCCTGCACTAAACTGATGGGCTGTGTTTTCCTGGAGGTGCCAGGAAATTCGGTCTTGGCTGTGATGACTCAGGTGGCTTCAGAGTTAAATTGCAGCCGTAGTCATTGTTCCTCACCCTCCACATCTCTCTTTGGCCTCTACAGCTGTGTGTTCATCTGGCACCTGGGCCCAGAGATTACCAACTGCATGAAGCAGCACTTGCTGGAAATTGACCATCTGGAGCAGCAGCAGCAGCAGCAGCAGCAGAATACGAAGGATGGGAAATGGAGCAGCCACCCCAGGTCCTGGCAGCCAACTATACATACCCCATCTGTCCTCCTCAGAGGAATATGTTCCTGCCCTAGGCCCCAAGATGCATGATGCTGGGGACATAGCCACAGCCAAGACCGCCCTGGGCCCTGCCTTCTGTGCACTCGCAGTCTAGGATGGGAGATGGACTTTGAATACAAAGTTGTAATAACACATATGAGAAGGGTTTTGGAGTGGAAAAGCAAAGTATTTGGAGAGCCTGTGAGCACTGTGATATGGGAAGCCCCAGGAGGCTCCGGTTTAGGGAGGAAGGTCAGGAAGGGGTCCAGTGGCGTTGTATCTTCTACTCTTTAAAGTTTTTATGCTGAAAGACCACTTTTATTTGGAGTGAATTCATGCTTTAGTTTTTTATTTAGGATTTTGGTTTGGAGGTCTCAGTTTTATTGGGAGATTATGGGATTTTTTTTTTAATCTCTCTCTCTCCTGCTCCTGGAGCTGTCCCCATCTCTTTGTCTTGAGGCTTTGTCATTGCCTCCCTGTGGGGACCAGCCCTTGATATGTGCTGCCTATCCTGCAGTGGTTTTGTAGATATAGGTACCTAGGGAGAGAGCAGCTACCTTTGGCTCCTGGTTTTGAGTCTCACACCCTACCCTGGGGCTGGGGCAGGTCCTGGTGCCAGTGCCCACCTCGTGTCAAGCATGTTTTAGTCACCTGTATTCCAAAGGAGCTAAAAATCTCATTGCTACCCCCTACTTCCTAAAACAGAACCCAGCAGCTCAATACTTAAGCCCCACTATCTGCTTTGGTTTTCAAAGGTCCCATTGCTGTGGCTCTTGGAGTGTTTGTCTTATTTTTTGAGCCCAGACTTTCTCATATCTTATTTATTATGGTGATATGTTTCTAGCAGAGAAATGAGACCTCCCAGCACTATCTTTTTTCTTTTGAATTTATTGATTTTTTTACAGAGAGGAAGGGAGAGGGATAGAGAGTTGGAAACATCCATGAGAGAGAAACATTGATCAGCCGCCTCCTGCACACCCCTACTGGGGATGTTGCCCGCAACCAAAGTATATGCCCTTGACTGGAATAGAACCTAGGACCTTTCAGTCTGCAGGCCGACGCTCTATCCACTGAGCCAAACCAGTTAGGGCTCCCAGCACCATCTTGACCAGAAGTTAGTAATATGTTCATTTGGAACCTAGCACAGGGCTGTGGCCCTAGGCAGGTCCCTTTAGTACCCTACTTACCTATTTCTCTCCTTGACTTCCTCATTCCTGGTTTTAGGCAGGAGACATATGCATCTGTGCCCAACAAGATTTGCTCCCTAAGATCTGGAGAGCAGGCAGAGGATGAGCTAGAGGAAGAGTGTGAACCTGAAGAATTACTGAAGACACCATCCAAAGAGAGCTTGGATTCAGGTTGGGATCCAAGGAGCCCTCTTTTGATCTCTGTCAGTGTAGGGGTCATTGCTAGGTTTCACCCACTGCTTTGTTTTCATGCCTGACACATACTAAAGTTCAATAATCATATTTTAGCCAGGACTCTCTCAGTGTAATAGCACCAGACTCTCATTGGCTTAAACTGGAAAGAGAATTTATTGGTTCATGTACCTGGATCCAGGTAGTCAGGTGATGTTAAAGGAATGTATTTTTCTGTGTCTCTTAGATCTACTTTTCTCCATATTGGCTTTGCTATCAGGTAGACTCTTCCTTTCCTGGGAGGGTTGTAAAGAGGATGTCCCAGAAGAAACAGCATGTTAACCAGAAGACAGAACAAATTTTATAGTTCAGGCAAAAGGGGGAGCAGTAGCTTAATGACTTTACAAAAGACCAGGCCCTCTATAAATTTCTGCTCCTCTGCATATTGCCTTGTGACGTAGGCCCTCATGGTTGTAAGATAGTTGCTTAAGTTCCAGGCATCAGAAGCATGGTTGAATAGGACATTTCCTCCCAGAATCTTTTAGAAAGGAACCTTTTCCCAGAAGCCCTGACAGACTTTTCTTGGGTCCCCCTGGTGTGATTGCTCCAGCTATGAGAGAGGCTGGGAATAGTGATTAGCACTAGGTGCTTTTAGTGTGGGTGGTGGGCTCCAGCAACAAGGGGCCAACAGGCACAGGCCAACTGATGGCTGATTGGCAGGCAACAGAATCATGAGAAGTCAGCTTTGGGGGAAATGAGGATAAGTTAATTTTCTTCATCACCCACCCTCACTCCTGATCCAGTGTCCTCTCCGGGTGTGACTCCTTATAGGCCTTTTCATGAACATTAATATACATATGTACGTATCCATAGGAAACACAAATTTATGTCCATAAATTGTATTATACTACGGTATCGTTCTGTATCTTTTTCCTCTCAAAAGTATCTTATCTACCTGTATGTTGGTGGCTACAGAGCAGAGACTTCCCTCTTTTAACCAGCACCATAGTAGGGCATTTTAAATTATTCCCTCTAGGTGGGCATTTAGGCTTTTTCTAACTTTATACTGTTGTGAAGGAGGCTGTGCTGACCACCGCTAGTCCTCCTCAGGCATTTGTGAGAGTGTTTCCCCAGGACAAAGGCTGAGGACTGGCAATGCTAAGCCCCGGGTTAGTATATTTTTTCTCTTAAAAGAGAACCCTAAGGGCCCTCCAAATCCACTTACTGCCTCACCCATTTTCCCTCTTCCTTCCCCCATGTTTTTGCCAGCATTTGATAGTATGAAGCATTTTAATTTTGGTCACATCTTATGGCTAAAACATTATATCCCATTGTGTAAATGTGCATTTCCCTGACAGTTAGTGAGGTTGAGCATCTTTTGATATGTCTGTGGGTTCTATATTGTCTTCTTGGAGAATTGCCCATTTATATATGTTGCCCATTTGGTTGTTGGGTTATTTATTCTCTTTTCATGGATTCTATGTATCTCTTCAGATCCTCAGTGCCTGCTGACCAACGGCAAGCTGCCACTCTGGGCAAAGCGGCTGGTGAGTCTGCCTGGAGACTGATACCTGGAAACTAGCACAGTAGGAGTACTCTCCTGCATGTTCTTATTTATTTTCCTCTCCATATCTCTCTTCCCTGGAGAACCCCATCACCCTTCTAGTCTCAGTTTAGATAGCCCTTCATTCATGCAACACGTATTTACTGAGTACCTACCCTCTGCTAGGCATTGTAATGGCCATTAGACACAGCAATGAATAAGGCAGACAAATCTCTGCCTTCACAAGCTCATTTTCTTACATAGGAGATGGACAAGATCCACAATAAACTATTTTTGGAGCTGGTAAGTGCTATGAAGGGAAAAAATTTGAGAAAGAAAATAATATTAGGATTGAATGGATGATTGTTATCTTTGAGGAGGGACAGGCTAGGAGCTGGTAGTATACTAGTAGAAGCTGGTAGCAGAATCCTAAACCCTAGTTTGGAGGGTTTATTTTAGGAACAATATCAGGCTTCAGATCAAAGCCTTGCAGGGAAATACCTCCTGCAATCCTCTTCCCTGAAGACCAGATCAGGGCATCTGGCCATGCTCTCTCAGGCCCCCAAGCTTCCCCTATTACTATATACTAGAGGCCCGGCGCACAAAATTCGTGTGCAGGTACGGTCCCTAGGCCTGGCCTGTGATCAGGGCCATCTTCCCCGGCTGCCCACAGCTGGCCCCGCCCCCCGCCACTACCCATCTCCGGTTCCCCATTTGCCATCAGATGATCGGAGCCTGCTGGCCAGGGGAAGGGACCAAGAGGTCAGCCGTTTCTGCCCACTCATTGGCCCTTCTCCCACTGTGGGTCACCCTCCGTGTGTGGGGTGCTAGGAGGGCAGCGGCCTTGGCTTGGTGCCAGCCGCGTCCCCCGCCACCCACCCCCAGTTCTCCGTTTGCCATCGGGCGATTGGAGCCTGCTGGCCAGGGAGAGGGACCAAGAGGTGGTCAGTGTGCCTCATAGTGACTAGTCAAATTGTCGTCTGGTTGTTCTGTTGTTAGGGTCAATTTGCATATTGCCTTTTTATTATATAGGATAGAGGCCCTGTGCATGGGTGGGAGCCGGCTGGCCTGCCCTAGTGGGCCGTCATGGTGGGGGTCCGCCGCAGTCGTTCTGGTCTCTGGTCATTCCGTCGTTTCGATCACTGGGCTTTTATTATATAAGATTATAATTGGAATTACATTCAACAAATAATCACTGTACATTTGCTTTGTGCGAGCTTTGTTTTAAGTCTTTTACGTGTGTTACCTCATTTAATTCTCATTGAGATAGGGGCTTTTCATATCCCCATTTCACAATAGGGAAATTGAGGCCCACAGAGGTGAAGTAACTTGTCCAGGGTCACACAGCTAGGAATTAGAGGACATGGAATCAACCCTAGGTGGCCTGAGTTCTCAAACACCCACCCTCCACTGTCTCAAGCAGCAGTCTGGGTAGCAGGCATCAGTGGGCTGGACCAGGGTGGGAGGGGAAGTGGCTGTATCTTGGATGTGTTTGAATGACAAAGCTGACAGGTTTTGCTGAAGAAATACAATGTGGAGTATGAGGAACAGAATAAGAGAGAGGAATGAAGGATGACCTTCAATGTTTGGGGCCTGAGCAACTGGAAAGAATAGCTGAGATGGGGAAGGCTTTAGGAAAGCAGATTTGGGGCGAAGATCACTTTTCTTTGTGTTTGCTTTGAAATATCCACTAAATATCCATTGGAGCTGTAGGGCAGTTGCATGTATACTTCTGAAGTTTAAGAGCAAGGTTCAGGCTGGAGATAGATGTCTGGAAGTTATTCTGAGTAGTCTTTAAAGCCAAGAGACTGGATGAGGTCTGTGCAGTCCCTGGCCCTTATTGGAGTTTGTGATCACTTGGCTGGCTGCCTGACCATCTCATCATCCTCAGCTTGGAGATGATGATATGGTGGATGGCTCAGCCTTCTACACCAAGCACAGCTACCAGCCACATGGCCGCTGGGCAGAGCGGGCTGACCAGGAGCCCCTCAAGACCATCCTGGATGTCCGTGACCTGGATTGCTACTTTACCCCCTTGAAGTCCGACAGTCTGGAGGACTCCGTTCTGGATATAGTGAAGCCACAGAGCCTGGCAGGCCTGCTGAGTGAGGTAAGGACTGCCCCTGCTCCACAACTGTCTGCTTAGGACCTGGGGCCTCAATGCTCTCATTTTGAAAACAGGCCTACCTCCCACTTCAGGGGCACGAGAGGATTGCCTGAGATGGCAGAGGGCAGAAGGGTGAGCCCAGGCCCGGTGCAGAGTGAGACTTCTTAGGGCAGACCAGGAATCTAGGAGATGGGTCACTTTGAGGATTAAGAGCTTGGGCCCAAGAGCAGGCCTGTGCCTGAGTAGAGGGGCATTTGAACAAGTGGAGCTCGGCTCTACCTCTTCCCTGCTGTGTGAATTAGAGCAGGGCTTGCCTCTCTGGGCTTCAGTTTTCAAAAATATAGACATTTAAAAAAAAGATGACTAAAAAGGTTTCTTAAAATGGTTATTGAAAAATAGCCCTCAGAGGCCTGGCGGGGGTGGGTGGCTCAGTTGGTTGAACATCATCCTGTGCATGAAACGTTGCCTGTTCGATTCCTGGTCAGGGCACACACCTGGATTGTGGGTGTGATCCCCAGTCGCAGAGCATACAGAAGGCAACCAATTGATGTTACTCTCTCACATCGATGTTTCTCTCTATATCTATCTATCTATCTTTCTCTCTTTCTCTCCCTCTCCCTTCCTCTTTCTAAGCATGTCCTTGGGTGAGAATTAAAAAAAAAATAGCCCTCAGAGAACTTTTATAGGAATTCAGTACTAAGAACAGGGCCTGGGTCCCCTTAAAGGTACTGAAGCAATTTTAGTTCTTATTTTATTATTTTGCAAATAAAATTCTTCTTTATCCTGTTATATGTTTTTTTTTTATTGTGGCATAATATATACATGCAGTTGTGCACAAATCTTAGGTAAATAGCTTGATGAATTATTACCTGTGTATATACCTATGTTTATGTACCACCAAGGTAAATATAGAGCATTTTCTACCTCCAGGAAGACCTCTGTGCCCCTCCCAGTCAGTACTTCCACCCAGGGTAACCAGCATCTGACCTTTTCACCATGGACTGGTTTGTCTGGGGTTTTTTGTTTTTTTTAATATATTTTTATTGATTTCAGAGAGGAAGGGAGAGGGAGAGAGAGATAGAAACATCAATGATGAAAAAGAATCGGTCAGCTGCCTCCTGCACGCCCCCCTACTGGGGGTCGAGCCTGCAACCTGGGCATGTGCCTTTGACCAGAGTTGAACACAGGACCCTTCAGTCCGCAGACCAACGCTCTATCCACTGAGTCAAACCAGCTAGGGCTGGTTTGCCTGTTTTTGAACTTCATATAAATAAACACTTAGAGAGTCAGAGCCATACTTATTCCTTATTTGTAAAGGGGCTTATGATAATGCAGTTGGATACAGAGTGAGCTCATGGTGAACAAAAGGCTTGTTCCAGGCCCTGGTGCGCAGTGAGCATCCAATAGCGGGGGCTACCATTATGCCCGGCTTCTTTACTGTAACACTTAGAAACTTGGAGGGGCCCTGGTTGCCACAGCTGCCTCGGATGGCTGTGCCTCTTCACCCCACAGTCAGAGAGTCCCCAGGAAGATGGCTGTAGGAATCCTTCCTTCCTGCCTCTACAGAAGGAGTGCTCTGAAGCCAGAGAGGTCGTCAGCTCCCTGGAGGTAGAGGTGACCGTCCCAGGGACAGACAGGTGAGTATCCTTCACATCGAGGGGGGCCTTAGTTGGAGAGAGAAAGCCTCAGCTGATAGACACATTCTGGAAGAACTGCTCTTGCAGTAGGCTGTGGGAGTGGGGAGGAAGGGGTATGGCCCAGATGGAGTAGAAGCCCAGCACTGCAGCATGTTTCCATGGTTGTAGGTGGAGGTGCAGGGCACTCCGGGGGGAAGGGAGCCTTTGGAGGAGGGAGGAGAGGCAAAGTAGTGCTCCCAAGGGGAGCAAGGTACAGACGCTTCGGGGTTCTGGGTAGGGACCAGTTGTTTACTAAATAGTATGTTATCATTCCCTCACTCCACCCCTATTGGCACTGCAGCAAGTACAGCTCAGAAGAAGTGGAGAGGGAGCCTGGAGACCAGCAAGGTGACTCCTATCTCAGGGTCTCCTCCATGGGCTTGAAGGATCGGAGCAAACTTGCGGGTGAGTGGGGGCCTGGCAAGGACCCTGCTGTAGTCTGTTCATCTCACCAGGCCTCTTTCTGGGCACTGATGATGACCTTAGCCCAGTCTTCCTGAAATTCAAGAGTCTATCGCAGAAGACAGACATGGTCCTTGATGTTACCAGAAGATTCTGGAGCCAAACTGCCCACTGAGGGCAGCCCAGCTCTGCCACTTCCTCCAAATGTAACCTTGTTGTCCATAAAAATAGGGGGCGAGTATTATCATCCCCATTCTCCAGATGGGGAAACTAAAATCCAGAGAGAAAGTGAACCTGACTCACCCAAAAAGAGCCTGGCTTTGGGCTCCTGACTCTCCCATATCCCCTCCTTACTTCTTTAGATTCAGGGAATTCAGAAGCCTACTTGGAGTGTACCTTCACCACCATCCATTCCTCCCCTCCACAGCTGGACTCAGACCCTCGGTTTGATGTGACAGTGACTCCTATACCAGGTAAATGGGCCAGGCATGAGGAAGGGCAGTGCATGGGTCTTGCTTAGGGGGTGGTCATGATACATAAACACTGGCCCCACATCAGCCCTACACTTGGTGCCTACTGAGCCTCACCTGGAAGACAGAGCCATCAGTCTTTCCTTCTCAGCCTGGTGGCATCAGGGTGTGTGCTGGGCCAGTCCAGCTTTCTCCATTGTTAAGTGTCTTTGTCAGGGTATCTGCCATGACTAAATGTTGAAGGTTCTGACCCCTTTGCCTCTCACAGCATGCCCAGGAACTGCAGAAGAGTTGTCTCGGCCTGAGCTGGCAGGCATATCCAATGACTCCTTGCCCCAGACCCCTGAGCAAGAGAGGTTTCTCCGCCATCACTTTGAGACGCTTACTGACACCCACCATGAGGGTAGGGCCCTGCTCCTCTCAGCCCTACCTGGGCGGGCCATCTTGTGCTAGGCACTGTGTGGGCATCTCTGGGTTAGGGCTTTCCCTAGCAGGGCTGATGAGAATGGTGGGAGGGCATATGTTTTATCTTCGGGACTGAGCTGCACAGTTTCTTCTTCCTGCTCCAGTTGCTCTGTGTTGTCTATTGATGGGGGTTTCAGATGATTTGCCTGCTGCTTTGTGGGTCTGTCTGGACCTAGGACTAGTTGGCTAGGGGGATTCTGAGGTCTCCCTTGGCATCTTCCCCTAGAGCTCTTTCACAGATCCCTAAGAGATGTGACGGCCTCTGCGGATGAGGACTTTTTTAATCCCCGGCTGAGCATCTCAGCCCAGTTCCTCTCACGTCTCCAGAAGACATCCAGGTAGGAGCTGGTGAACCGCTGAACCTTCCAACTGTCTGTATTCAAGGATGGGGCTATGTCCTCCCAAGCATCCCAGGGCAGGCACAACTGCCTGGTTTCCTCCCCACAGGCTCAACCACACCTTCCCTTCCCCGCTGCACCTGCACCTTGTGAAGTCCCCGGAGGTCAAACTCATAGACCTCCAGGGGAACCAGGCCAGAGCAGAACCAGGTACTGGCTACACCTTCCCAGGGAGGACCGATGTGAGTACTTGGGTCACCTCCTCAGGACATAGGGCTGGGAGCTGGGAAGCCTTGTCCTCGTCTCATGGCTGTGCTTGCAGGTCCTCTCTGGGAGGAAAGCTAAGGAGTCACTTGACAACCTGGAGGCCTGGTGCCCACTGAGTGAGTGTCACCATTCCTAGTTAACATCCCTGGGCTTCTCAGAAAATGGCCCTGGATGCCCAGCTGAACCATGGGTGGGGATGGGGAGGGTCCACTCAGAACCTGCAGCCATCCTGGGGTGGGGCCCTCTCAATCAATTTTGTGGCTTGGATGTGAGAGTGAACTGGCTGCTTCCTTTACAGCCCCCTGCCTCACAGGCCCACTTCCTGTGTTCCCTCCTCCTCAGCGCTGCCCACAGATAGGAAGCCTCTGGCACCCACAAACCTACCCACTCCAGGCCTCCACATCCCCTCTACCTGTTCCTATATAGAGGCCACTGCCAGTTCCTGTGCCAAGATGTCACCCAGCATTTCCCTTGAGGACAGTGAGGACCCTGTCTTGGTTGACAAAGAGAGAGGGAGACCCCTCTGCAGGCCCTCATCTCTGGGGAAGCTGGCCTCCATGGACCAGGAGCTTCAGGCCATCACCACCACAGCAGCAACCAGTTCTGACAGTGAGGGCCGAGAGCCTGCCCTGCCCTCCCAGGGCAACTATGAAGCCCAGGCCAGCTTCAAGCAGACCCTGTCAGGTGTCTGTGACAGGCTCTTACTGCCCTCACCCCCACAGGAGCCACCCACTACTTGTGTCTGGTCCCAGGAACCTGTGGCCACCCAGTCTGATGTCACAGTCACAACATCTACCTTCCCGGCTTCCAGCCCCGTAGATATGAGCTCCCTGAGGCTCCACAGCTCCACCTTTCTCCCAAGGCTTCTGGCCGCTGAACCCCTCAACACCCCTGCACACCCCAACAGCCCCCCACTTCCAGAGGCTATGCCTGGCAGCATCACCTCCCTCCTGGAGCTCACCCCTGGTGAGTATCACCCTTGGGATAAGGGGTTGTCTCTCAAGCTCATCTCATTTAACAGCTCCAAAGATAGGCACTTGACCTGGCCACAGGGGCTATGCCATTCATTTATTCTTTACTGAACTATTTAGTGAGCACTTTGTATGTGTTGGACTTTTTGTTCTAGGCCCTGAGGACATGGATGGGATGAGGTGGTAAACAAGACTACAGAGAATTGACACCTTAATTGGGGAAGATGCCCCAACTAAATCTATGAGGAAAGTGTTAAGTGTATCACGAAGTGATGTGCTAAGGAGGGAAATAAAGAGAAAGGGTTTAAGGAGTTAGAACAATTGAGTTGTTACAGTTTTTAAAACATTTTTTTTTATCGATTTCAAAGAAAGAGGGAGAGAGAGAAACATCAATGATGAGAGAGAATCATTGACCAGCTGCTTCCTGCATGTCCCCCGCTGGGATTGAGCTCGAAATCTGGGCATGTGCCCTGACCGGGACTCCTGGTTCATAGGTCGACGCTCAACCACTGAGCCACATCAGCCAGGCTGTTGTTATAGTTTTATACAGAATGATGAAAAAAGGCTTCAGAGAGAAGGTGGCATTTGAGACGTGCAGGAGGGGAGGAAAGGGAGGCTTGGGGACTGAGGGAAGTACATATTGCAGGCAGCGGGACAATAATTGGGATCAGTCCAGTCACCATGGCCTCTCTTAGACCAGCTATAAAGTTAGAGGTGTCTTTTTCATTCCTCCCTTCTATCCCCAGATGCACTCAGTGTACTCCGGGACAGCCCTGGACACTGGGGAGAGCCTGGAGTGCCAGCCAGAGTCCTGTCCCCAGCTCCCCTTGAGGTGAGCAGTGTGGGGACCATTGTGCACAAACTACAGACTGCCTTCCAAGAAGCCCTGGACCTTTACCACCTGGTGAGCCAAGCCCAGAGTCAGGAGAAAGGGCTGAGGGAGTGCCTTGGGACTGTCTGGCCTGGGTGGTTCCTAACAATATTGGCACCCTTTGCAGATGATCTCCAGTGACCAGTTGAGTACCAAGCAGCGGCAGGCACGGACTGAACTAGCCTCCACCTTCCTTTGGATCCACAGCCAGTTAGAGACCAACGACTGGCTGGTTGAGAGTGATGTGGCCCCAGCCCAGGCCCTCCCCAGCCCTAACCCCCCCTCCCCACCTACATTGTGTCCCCTGGCCAGCCCAGATTTGCGTGCCCTGCTGGAACACTACTCGGAGCTGCTGGTGCAGGCTGTGCGGAGGAAGGCACAGGGGGACTGAGGGTCAGCAGCCCTGCTACTTTCTGATGAAATAGGTATTTTTAAGCAAATAAAGGGACAATTTGGAGGAATGGTTGCTGGTGCCTATCTTGGCACATCCACAAAGCTCCTTCAGGTGGATGCAGGGAGGGAGGGTGGAGGGCAGTGCTCTGGTGGACCATCCCAGAGAACTCTCATAAGCACTGATGCTAGGCCCTGTTCTCGGAATCTGTCAATGGGAACACAAACCACCATTCTCAAGAAGTTTTGGAACTGCAGTAATGATGATCCCAGCACCTGGTTTTTGTGTTGCTTATCCTTAGCCCACTAAGCTGCTAAGGGATCATATGTGGTCCTTGCCCAGTGAGACCCACCTGTACCCCAGAGAGCGGCCAGTCCTTCTTTCCTACCCGCTACTGATACCCAAGAATCCACTGGAGCTGCTGTGATCATGTGCCAGACCCTGACTACCAGTACACATATTACCATACCACTGGCCCCTGGGTCAGGCCCATCCTGGATCCTCTGAGAACCAGGCTTTTGTTCCCATCTGCAGCAGGGGAAATTGAGGAGGAGAGACAAACAGGTTTATCCATTGGACAATCCGGGCAGCATTCCCAGGCCACCCAGCAGCTGGGACAGTAATTATTACCCCAGCAGGAGGACTGTATCCAGCTACAACAACCCATGAGCTCCCAGTACTAGTACCAGCTTCCTTAGGCAGCAGGCATCTAGCTATGTGCGTATCTGCTGAGAGGGCCACTCTTGCCACAAAAGCCCCCACTCTCCCAGGTGTATAAAAAGGAAGCCAGCCGAACCGGTTTGGCTCAGTGGATAGAGCGTCGGCCTGTGAACTCAAGGGTCCTGGGTTCGATTCCGGTTAGGGGCATGTACCTTGGTTGCGGGCACGTCCCCACTGGGGGGCGTGCAGGAGGCAGCTGATTGATCTCTCTCATCGATGTTTCTGACTTTCTATCCCTCTCCCTTCTCTGTAAAAAATCAATAAAATATATTTTTTAAAAAAATAAAAAGGAAGCCAGCAGGGGTGGGGCCCTCTCCTAAAGCACAATCTTACCATGCAGACTGCTACGGTCTGAATTCCCACTTGCCTGAGTTTCTCCCTGCTCTGTTTGATGGTCATGGCCCACCAGAAACAGGCTGAGAGAGATCCAGTGTCTTGCCCAGGGTCCTATAGAACTGAAAATCTAACTTAGGCTTGCCTGATGGCAGAGCCAGACCCTTCAACATGGGGACATGGCCTACAGCTGCCTCCATAAATATTAATATACATCAGAACCAATCAGACAGTTGTTAAAAAAAAAAAATCCTGCTGGCCGGTGCCCAGGTGCCTGTCATTGTTCTATAGGGGTAGAGTGAGGAACAGGAGAAATAAAACATCTGTCCTTGTGGTATTCACCTTCTAGAGAGCAAAACACAAGAATTAAAACAACTGTGTAACTAGATAAGCTGAGGGAATTCACTATGCTGGAAGAAGTGTCAGGGAAGGCCTTTCTGAGGTGACATTTGAACTGAGGCTCAGTAGAGGGCACAGGCCATCTGGACATCTCAGGAAACTATCCAGGCAGAACAGCCAGTGCAAAGGCCCCATGGGAAGATCAAAGGTACATGTAAGGAATGGCAACAAAGCCAGGACAGCTGGAATAGAGTGAGCTAGGGGACAGGCAGTGAGAGGAGAATGAGATCGCACCAGGCAAGGCCTTATTGCTTCATGACATAAAAGTCCAAGAAACCACCACACAATTTTCCCCCCTAAATAAAGTCCCTAATATTTGTGTTTGGGGAGATGCCAGTCTTATTTATTTTTCAAAGCTCTCTCTTTCTGCCTTAATGAGCCCAAGTGGTCCAGGGCTAGTAGTAGGACTGCATCTCTGCCAGGCTAACGGGCCACCCCTGAAAGACAGGAGACCCATTCTCCTTGCTCCTGCCTTGCTTGGTCACAGTCACCTAAGAGCCCTGAGGCAAAGTTTGGCATCCAGGACCCTGGACACCCAGGAGACCAACTTGAGACTCTGCCCCTTGAGAAAATTACCCCTTCTCCCACTCTGTATTATAGTTAAGCTTTCAACTCCAAGTGGCAAACACCTGGCTTATGGGGGTGCACGCTATGGGGACATTTGTTACTCTTGATTGTTTCTGCTCTGTTGCTCCCTATGAGCCTGAGTTTGACCCTCCAGCTTAGGTCTTCACAACTGCAACATGTCTGCCATGCACTCAGCAGCACACCCCCACCCAGCCAGTAGCAAAAGCATGAAGCAAAACAGCGTTCAGGGTGATGGGGGGAAATTGCAAAGCCTTCCTAGACACCTTCCTCTTCAGAGCAGTCACAGGTGATGGGAATGGAGATTGCTTTGATTTGCTTGGACTGACCATCTTGCCTGTGCTGGACATGCTTAAACAAAATTGGGTTCTCAGCACAAAGGAGGTGGGCTAGTAGTTCAAAAGAATCCAATATGTCTGCCATTCTCCACTTCCTAATGTCAGCTCTTCAGCCCTAAAAGGACCAGACTTTCTCCTGGACTAACCAGCTGGTTAAGAAATCACTGCTGATGAATGTGTATACAGGCAGTTTATGGACCAGCAGGAAGAGAAGAGCATGTTCACATGGGCTATTTCAAAGAGTTTAGTGAAGGAATAATTTGCAAAGGAGTGGGCAGGGGAGAGTGAAACCACAGCACCTGGGACGTGGTACCAAAGGAGAGCTGTCACACACTTCCACCCTACACCACAAGACACAAGGGAATGAAAAACCCAGAAGAGCAAATCCTGGAGGGCTGCCCTGGGGGGACTTGTGTCCCTGGCAATCCCACAGAGAGGGAGTTGAAATCCCCTCCCCAAATCTGCAGGGCTTCCATTGTCCATTCCCTACTGGAAGCCAGAGGGAAAGGAGCCCAGATGCTGCTGCCCACCCAGGTCAGCCACCCATGACACAGCAGAGCAGAAAGGGAGCCTGAGGGCAAATAGACACCCAACCCCAGATTTCTTCCCTCATGTCTTTTCAGCAACACAGGAATCAATTGCTTCAAGAGACATGTTGTGCATGGAGAACTGGTCACCCAAGCAGAAACAGAATGGCTCCCCACTCATCAGCTCATTCTTTAGTGCAACCTGGCCCCCGCACGCCACATTGACAGCTCCTAAATACTGGGCTGCTAGGCCTGAGCCAGGCATACTAGTCATGGTTGCATGAAATCCAACAATTGTAAGATGGCAACACTTAAAACCCCTAATGGAATACTACGCAGCTGTAAAAAAAGAAGGAACTCTTACCCTTTGCAACAGCATGGATGGACCTAGAGATTATTATGCTAAATGAAATAAACCAGTCAGGCCGAAACCGGTTTGGCTCAGTGGATAGAGCGTCTGCCTGCGGACTGAAAGGTCCCAGGTTCGATTCCGGTCAAGGGCATGTACCTGGGTTGCGGGCACATCCCCAGTAGGAGATGTGCAGGAGGCAGCTGATCGATGTTTCTCTCTCATCGATGTTTCTGAGCTCTCTATCTCTCTCCCTTCCTCTCTGTAAAAAATCAATAAAATATATTTTTTAAAAAGAT